CTTCGGAACAACCATTTCGAAAGTTGGAGACATTAACCAAGATGGATTCAATGGTAATTGTCTATTTAATTATTTACAGATAAATTGGCAGTATATTCAATCTCGATTTTGTTTGAAACACTTAGATCTCGTCGTTGCGGCACCATTCGAAGGAAATGGAGCTATCTACATTTACCACGGCGGCGCAAATGGTCTTCCGGCAAAACACAGCCAGAAAATCAGCGCACCACATAATTCATTGCAAGCAAATCAGATGTTTGGCCATGGCTTGTCGAAAGGCGCCGATGTGGATGGCAATAATTACTTGGACATCGCTGTTGGATCGCCAAATGCCGAAACCGTTTACATTTACAAATCGTATCCCATAATCCGAGTGAATGCCACCATCTCACCATTCAGCCAAGAAATCCAGACGACCGACAAATCGTTCAAGTTTAATGTGTGCTGGCTGTATGAATCATCGTTCCCAATCGCCTTTGATGTGCATTTCAATGCCACGGTTAGGCTCGACGGTCAATTGGGTCGTGCGGTTTTTCAAGATAAACGAAACCAGTATGGAATTAACAGCAAAATCACGTCTGATGAGCAGTGCATTCTGCTCGAGGCGTTTGTTACATTTTCTGCTGTTAATATCTTTCGACCCATCGAACTTGAAATGACACACCACGTGCTAAATGACATTTCCAACAACAACAGTGGTAGCAGCGATGATAACAATGCAGCAAGTGAAACACAAGGTAATTAATATACTGAAAATGTATCGGTTTACCTGAACGCAAAACGTTCAACAATGGAGCGGACGTGGCACGTGGACTAATGTTGTTTCTGTTTTATTTGATAACAGCGTTCTGTGGAACATGTGTTGCAGTTAATCCAAACGACTCGAAGACTATCAAAAGCAAAATCGTATTCAGCACTGGTTGCAGAAACGCTCGGTGCACAGCTGATTTGAAAATAAAGAGCTCATTGGAAAATGTCCCAAGGTAATGTTGATTATTGTGAGTGGTTTTATTCTTCTCTTGATGATATGATCTAACTTTGTGGTTTTCCCAACAGTTTGCCCTATATTCTGGGCAGCAGCTCGTCACTGACAATGGCATATTCTATCGAAAATAGTGGTGAAACAGCGTATCTAGCTCAAATTCGAATAGTTCTACCCGAAGCCGATGTTCTGTTCACCAAAACACCATCCAATTGTAAACTCGATGACACCGCTCCTAACTCAAATGTCATGGAATGTGATCTGAACAATGGTTTTCCCTTGTACACAGGCAATAAGACCTCAATAATAATCAGTGTTGACATAACTAAGCTCGACAGCAGTGAATTAGTTATAAGAGCAAATGTGTTCAGTGCGGGAGACGAACAGAACGAAGTAGATAACGAGGACGAGAAAATCATTCCACTGCAGAAGTTCAGCAAAATCGAAATATTGGGGTAATATTGAATTCTCATTCCTTATTTGAAATGAGGATCATTTGCAGCAAACTCTAAATATTTTGAATTCATAATTCTTACAGAGATTCAACGAAGAACCAGATCACATTGCAAACCGAAGTGGAAAAAGAGAATGTGTCTCATACATTTGAGGTATTGTTTGAAAAA